TAGAACATTTTTTAAACGATTTCATCAGTTTTAGTCTTTCTAATAATAAAGAGCACATTTTGAGCTTCGCGAGATGGGCGGAGGTGAGCTAGCAGCCACTCATGCTTATCACAGCCCTGTCCCGTCAGCTGGCAGCGATTCGGTGGCGGTGACGCCGGCGTTATGGTGCATGAAAGTGAGGTGTTGTGTGGGAGCACTTTACAGCTCAGACTGTCTGAATTGAATCATAGTTTCCGCTTTCCACGTCATCACTAAGTATGACAAACTCTGCTACATCTGTCTGTAAAATCTGTGAGTTGTGTGTTTAGTTTACTTTAGATACGTTTAGATTAATGATAATTATTGTAACTTGCATAAGTATTTTTAAATTGAATTTATTTATGGTGCATTTTCAGTTGGACATTTCATTGCAGGACTTGTGAATGATAGAGAAACACACAAGATTTTTTTAAATGCTCAAGCAGGCACGACAGATTCAAACAAAACAAGATCACAAAGAGAAGAAGTTCTTTTCTGTCTTTGTAATAAAGGCCGTGAGGAGTGAACGCTCAGGCAAAGTCACTTGTTTTCAGCTCTTTGAATCATTATCTCTTCTGTTCCCTTTCAGTCAGTCAGAGAAGTCATACGAGATGAAGACTGCCCGTCTATGATTGTGCCAAGCAGACCTTGTAAGTGAATCCGAGCAGCTCTAAATACATTGCCTCAATAACTTACTGTTTGTTCTGCCGAGAGGGTAAATACAACAAAAATATCTACAAATGTGTTTCAGTCCTTCAGCGGTGCTTCCCTGATTTCATTAGAAGAAATGGAATTTTAACTGTAGCCAATCAGACCATCTTCAAAGACGGCGAGAATAACAAGAGAAGTGTCGACGACCTCAAAGATGCTGCCAAGTAAGAGCTGCTCCCCTGAAACACCAGCCTTTGCCCTACTTCTTTAACGGGTTCATTTTTAGCAGGAGAATCACAGATTTGGCAAACAAAACAAACAATGAAACTACATTTTTTTAAATCCCCTCTAGAATAAAGTGTTTTTAAACTGTTATACTGTCTGTAGGGATGCCAACTCTGCACCCAGAGAGATCTGGACAGAAATAACAGGGTAGGACCAGCGGGCATTTTACTGATGCCCATGAATGTGCTCAGTCACATTCAAAGTCATCTGCATGCTTATTGCATGAAAATAAAGCTTACCTACAAACTCAAGAGCCTGAGCCAATGCTATGGGTCTCTACAAGCTTAGCTGCTTTGTACGTATGTATCTATATGTTATCAGCATGTAAAAGGGCTGAGGCAGCAAACTTCAAAAATCATGTATTTAAACCAGTGAGCTGATATCATAAACATACATGATTTGTATGGCTGCAGTAATCTACCTTGAATAATATAACTTGATGCTTTTTCTTTAGCCAAGTAACCGCCAACATAAAGTAGAAAGGGCTCAAAAATGATTTATTTCAGCTTTTTAACTTTGCTTCTGCTTTAGCCAGTTGCTTTATATAGACTAACCTGCTCACCTGTGCTATTTATCCATAAGAATACATAACTATATGTTTTGTTTGTGGCATTAGATGCAAAATAGGGCAAGTTAATACCTCAAAACATCAAGTCATCGCCTCTACCTTCTGTGTGTGTAAATTAGAGAGTGCTGTGCTGCCCCCTGGTGGTCATTAGTTTTGCTCTCCTGGCGCAGATTTTGGGAGCGATCCAAACTCTTGTATGTGTGGACACTGAACAGTGACCTTAATTAGACAGTAAGGTTTAGAATTGATGCTGGCGTCCTGTTTGTCCCACAGCAATGTTATCTTGCCCTCTATGTCTCACCAATTTCAAGATATACCTGAGTCACTTCTACAGTAAACTTTTCAGTAATCATATTCTGACTTTGCTGCCAGTTCTGTAGTTTAAATACTCCCCAAGTGTTTAATGACAAGTGGAGCTATTTAATGAACCCAGAAGGCGAGCTGTGAAATAAACAGGCATTTTCTTTTAGAGTGACAGGGACCTGAGGTCTATCCCAGCTTACACTGGTGTGGCATGCCCTGGACATGCTAACACGAGAAACAAACTCACATCCACACCTACCGGTGCAAAATTTCTGATTCCTGTTCTGTTTGAATTCTGATATTCAACAAAAACTCTGTGTGGGTTTTAAACCAGAACATCTTGAGTGGAGATTACTTTTAAAAAGATAATACTGAGTCTGTGACGTTTACTATCTGAAGCATTTATGTTATTACTGTGGAAATGAAACACATCCATTACTATTTGCTTTACCACAAAGTGCTCCTCTGAATGATATTCACTTCTATACTGATTCCCCCCTGCTGTAATAGCTGCCAGTACTGCTTCTGTAACTCTACTTGTTTTGTGGCTCTTTGATATGAAACTTGAGCAGCTCTTACAACTGACATTATCAAAAGCATTTTAGAGCTATAGCTGTCTCTGTTCCACGATGAAAGCAGTAAAGATCAATCGGCTGTCAAAACGTTTTTGAGAAATCCTTGTGAACTAAGCGGCTTTAGCATAAATCCACCAAAGTGCGTCCCTGTGCTGTTTAATCACTTTCTGTCAACTCCTCTTCCTCCTATTTTTTCCATTTCACCTTTTACTGAACCACAGAGGTATCGCCAGTCTGCTGGATGCCAAAGAAGTCGGCATGAAGATCTTCGAAGATTATGCAAACTCCTGGATCTGGATCCTCGTGTAAGAATGGCTTTTGGTCATTTTAGTGATTCAATTCATAGGAATGACTCTTTGTGGGTAGAGCAAAATCTCTGATTCATTGATGAGATTATGAAAATGTTCACATTATTACTTTGATGAAGATGCTCCTGCTGTTTATGATCTTTTAACCCATCAATCCGGTGTCAACTATTATTTGCAGTCATGTTTAAAGAGGAGGTTGTTTGGTTTGTTATTAGAACAACCAAACTTTTGATCCACTAAAAACGGTGGATATACTTTAATAATATAAATCCTTTCACAAATAGAAACTGATAGATCTTATATTCTTTTGTATGATTTACATCCAGGCCTCAGACATTTGTTGTGTCACCTGAAGCAGAGATTATTTCTCA